CATTACACTGAACGGCAACGCAAATCTTGGATGACACCAGAAAAGAGACGGACAAATTAAAACCTGTTAGGACATGATCAGAAATGACGCTGAAAACACCTCTGAATTAATAGTGTACACAAACTGTGCACAAGAATAATTAATTGAAAGCGGAAATTGCGGATGATCAACATAGGTAAAGAACAGCATTTCTGGACGTTACTGGAGCCGGCTAAACTAGTGATGGCGATAGCCGTAGCAACAGCAGAGGATGATAAGGATATCACTAAATGGAATGAAGTCTTGAGCAAATTAAAGCTGTCGTTTGGTTGCAAACAGAGATTAATTTAGTCAAAATGAAACAATAACGCGTTTTGAAAGAACAGTCCCGGAGTTAACAAAACTAGAACCCCAACTACAAAATCCGAAAACCCATTAGTAATAAGGAAACGAAGCTATGAGATACTGATGCGCGAGTCTCATGTAGTAATTCCGAAAATCACTTCTATTCAGAATTCTACTATAGCTGAATCGTAAATTTGCTTAGGTACAAATGAGCAATGTACTGTACCCGGATCATCCATGAATTACAGTAACTGCAAGCAACCAGCGAATACATTTGTAGGTTACAACAAAAGAACTTTGATCGGGACAGGGCCTTTATCGATCTCCGAGAAACAAAGCACCGCAGAATTATTTGCCTCATACTACCCACCGTTTAACAGAGGATGACGACTAGTATTCTAACTGAATCGAAAAACAATTAGACTATGTTCGACGGATGACATTTGGGGAGAGAAACGAATATTATCCGCACCACCTGTGTGATCAACATCTGGAATACCCGGTGTAATTAAAGCATGCACATGCTTCATATCTCAGAACAGACATTGGCAGTTTTCACTGTCAATCTCGTCATCGTTGCTACAGATATGTTAACCAACTTCACTGCCTATGAACTGATACTGCGAAATCCATTCAGTTAATCCGCTGCAAATGCAACTTAATTACAAATTAATTACCAAGGACCAATGGCCAGCTAAAATGTCTCATAATTATTTAGGAAGTCAAGTACGAAATAATACGTCGTAAAATTCGGTTCTGAATGATACATGCACACAACTGCTACGCCTACAAATATAATGCTATCTCTACTTCCTTCCCAAGAGATAATACTCGTTTATTTGCTTCAGAAAAGAGAACAAAGTAGATCTCCTAATTAGAAACACCTTGATGATGTGTTTATCATTGGTTCAATGCTCTATCGACGACCGAACAATTATGATACACCTCAGGACAGGTTTTCCTGCATAACGCTTCAAAGTGAAGCACTGATAACATAGCCAAAAATCAAGCATTCCGGTATAATTAAAAACTGATGAATAAATCACACAAAACAGTTAACAATATTACCAACAAAAGTAAACTGCTGCGGTCAGTCTATCGGTTGATAACAGCTTCCTGACATATCACACGTATACACGCCTGTTTTAAACGTTAAAATCGTGTAAGAACCGCAAGCTGGAATCAATACCTAAACTTTTAGAATAACAGTTTAAAAGTCCACGAATCTTCAGATCAGCACTTTGTTCATCGCGAAAGATGCTCAAAGAATTGCTATTCGTTAATGCTATTTCGAAGTATCAAAAGTACGGCTCTTGCAGGAGAAATTTGATTATGTTTGATTATCTCGCAAAGGAGCGGTTCGTCAACGATAATAAAAGCCGGTAGAGTGGTTTTTGTGTATACTGAAAAGTTGCTGTGCAGATTCATTAGTCACGAAAGGCTATAATTATATTATTCCACGCGACATTGGTGTAGCCCATAACTGCTCTCAGATCTGCAATTAAATTTGATGGACTGCAGTTAGTGACTACTCAGGATCAGGTTCATATGGCTGAAGACAGGACGAATAGGAAGAGCACAATTTCATAACCGCCATATGTGACACCAGTGATATTCATCGATGTCCATTGCTAAATGCCATCTATCCAGCGTCGCATGGACATTCTCTTAAACATAATGATTGATGTGGCCCTTCTGTATTTTGAGAAGCCATGGCGTGGGGAGAGGCGGGGGTTGAAGACATAATGAATATATTTCACCTTCTCTTGACTGTGAACAAATATGGCCGCTTAGACTGGTGGCTTGAGCGTCTTTTCTCAACGGGATCTCCCTTAATCAAAACAGTCCTAGAGTTGTCATCCCCCTCGCTATGTTATCTGCTACTTTTGCAAATTAATCGCTACTCCAGACCGTGAAGATACTGTCGTCAGTAAGTTTTGACCTTTCCGAAGAAGGGAGAGAGTCACCGTAACAGCTTACCAACGTAGCGCTGAAAGTGCAAAAGTGCGTTTGCTTTGTATCTCGATTTTTTATTTTACTCAGCCATCTATAGGCATTCTATGAATGTCACGTGATGCTGCTTTCAGTGTTCATTTTAAACCGAAAAAAAACTTATTTTAAAGTAACAAGGCTGGAAATATGGTGGCGTATGAGAAATTAGCTGGGACCAGAAAATAATACTAATCGCATCGATAATGTATGCTGAATTGATAACCACAACTTGTGACATTCAGGTGACAAAAGAATACAACGGAAGAAGTCTTGCGAATAAAAGCCCAGATGGATCAGCACTGAGCACCATTCCGTTTCCAGTGGTGACCTGCAGGAAGCACCCCAACGTTACATGCTCCCACAGATGATCTATTGCTATGTAACGAACACAAAAAAACGGTAAAAGGGATCAGCGTAACATCATCGTTGAAAAAACGGGTTTCGTCTCATTAAGAACCTGACACAAAATGTTAATGTCGGTCGTTTCAGCAGGGAAAACAAAGGCTACGGCAATAAGTTAGCGAGGGAGGAGTCATATGCTACTAAAATTCCAGTCTTCAGATATCCTGGTTTCAAAACGCAAGACAAGGTAATGAAGAAATCAACAGCGAATTAACAATTTAACTGAAAAAGAAGTGGTTTAACTGCAGAAGAGGTGGCGTGCTGAGTGATCGACAACTGGAGAAACTGTAGAGAACGGTTAACAGAAACATCTGGAATACCTTCATACAGGGGATATCATGTTTAAATCTACTTCCATCGTATGATCGTAGCAACGATAGATGGAGACAGCAGAAGTAGCTTTCTGAATTAG